AAGACAGAATTTCTCCTTTCAATATCAATACAATATCAAGCAGACAAGTAATGAGAAAAAAGAAGAATATCAATTAGGGGATTATTAGTTGATCCAATACCAAATTCTCCAAAATAACACCACAAGAATTGTATGGTATATAGTAAGGAGAATTACTAATGAGATCTTGGGAGTTAAAGCCCATTTAGGGTCAGTCAGGATTGTATTCTATCATTATAATTAAAAAATTAATCATAAATCTTATGTACCTGCAATGCCATGGCTATTTGGACAAACCACTCAACAACTTGTGTCTCTTCAAGTACTTTTCCTTCTTTAGACTGTGCTTTCAGCTTTGTATACAGATCACCTCCCTCACAGAAGTTCATTATGATATAGAGAAATCCTGATTCATCTTGAAACGATTCCCGGTAAGAAACAATGTTGGGATGCCGCAACTGAGATAACAATTTTGCCTGGAAAGTAGTATAAAACTAAGAATTTTCACCTACTCAATCTCCCCCATGACTCTCCCAGAAAGTACAGTAATTATCAATGTTAATTAAGTTATTACAATAACTATAAGTATAGGTTTTAGTAATTGTATACTCTTAAAAATGTTCTTATATATTACATTTACACACTTTTCAGTGTTCCTTGAAGTTCTGTTCTCCTTTATATTCAAGCAAACATTTGATCATGCCTTGATAACAATTCACAGAACTGTCTCTTGAACAATTCCTATTATTACACTTAAGAGAATTTAGACCAAATTATAATTTTATAGCCAAGGGTATGTGTGCCTTTCTTCTCCGCACCTTTCTGCTTGAAAACATATTGATATTGTGAGGAGACTTGCGGGTAAAGTGAATCTTACGACAAGATAAGCCATTTTTTCTTGGTTGGAAGCTGATTAATAAAGCTATGAAGTCTTGTTGACTGGACGAATATAAGGAAGTTAAGTTGTGTAGACAATTATTTCACCTCTTGTTCAGCCGCTTTCCTTTCCCTTTCAGAGGCTTTAGAAAGGTCGACCTTCTTCATAACATACTAAAATTACAAGAAAAAAAAGGCAACAGAAGTTTCATAAGCAATAATGACAAACAGCTGACTTGTATGAAAGTAACGATACTATCAAGCTCACGATTAGACTTTGTCACGTCTTCGTAAAACTTACCTGCTTTCGATCTTTGCGATGCTTCGCCAAATAAACCTCTCCATAACTTCCCTTACCGATCACTTTGCCGATGGTGAAACTTTCCAGCGGCATTTTTGGCGAGAACTATCAACAATTCACGCGTGATAGCGTCTCAATATCTATAAAAGCCTCTTCATTATTTCACTGCTACGCTCGGACTTCCTTGGATCTTAACAGCTCTAGTTCGTTGTTAAACATTCGCGTACATCTTATCTCGACCTGTTAAGAATTCGATCTCGTTAACCAGCATTCAGACGGCATGTCAAATTCCTGTGCGTCTTCTGTAACTACGTGTGTCAATGATGCACTGCGATGGTGAGTCATCCCAAAAGAGGACCGGAGCCTGGGTCTAGCAGACGTATCCCGCATCCCGCAAAAAATTGCCCTCACCCGTTTTAACTCGAAACAAGAGTGCACACAGATCACAGACAGCAATCTAACTTTTGATTAAACAACTTTAATGGCATATTATCCGTCTGTACAACAATTTTTTTATTATTTTTTACCTCAGAAGAAAACATATACTTGTTATTAGTTTTGGACACAAAAGAAACAAATACAACAAATCTAGAAAGGTTAAAATTACTCCCTTCTTGAAAATTCATAATATAGAACACAGGACAATAATCTAGAAGAAAGCACTAACACTAAAATTTTAAAACCAAAAATGGAAAAAAAATTAATTTTTAATCAGAAATCAAATATCCATTGCGAAATGAATGTAAACACTTGGACTGGTTTTCAAAAAATGCGAATAAAATGACAAGGAAATCGCAGATCAATCGAGAGGACTTATTCTGCTGCCTTGTTTTGTCTTTCCTTCCTGTCTTCCCATTTGAGCCGTTCAAGGACCTTTCAAGCCCACAGTAAAAAACCAGTGCGTCACGCAACGAATGTCACGGGTCACAAAACGTTTCAATCGTCATCGTCGACGTCGACCTCTTTTAAGGTTGTTATTGTCGCAAGGACCCCGTACAAATATGTCGATAAGATATCTGTTCTGTAAACGGATATTTTCCAAGTGAGAAACAAATCAAAGGTTGTTCGTTCGACCCTTCCCAGGGTGGAATTGCTATTAGCATCTATCAATGTCAGTGTTTTGCCAAACTCTAATGGAAATTGTTCAGAGCGTGCAATTTCAAAACCCTTCGAATTCTTGATCACATAAATATCTTCGTTCATTTCAAGCCCGCTCCAACTGTATTCTATCTTATAACTTGTGGCGTTGATCTTCCATTGTTCTTGAACGTGATACGTGTCCGCCCAAGGCGAGGACTCCCTCTCCACAATAACTGCGATTTCGTCTTCTGTGTTTATCAAATAAAAAGTCCAGATGGTTTCACAGGAAGAGCATTTCTGTACGTGGCAAATTTCTTCTCCGTTAGTTTTGAACGATATCGTCTCTTTGTATAGCGACTTTGAAGCTCGAACGACGCAGTAATGTTTGGGGATATCGAGCTTTTTGCCGGCAAGTTTCAGTCCTTCGTCTGCTTCTTCATCTTTGCGACGAAGAGAGGCTGCGAGAATGATCGCCAACAAAATAACCAGGACTATCAGGAAACAAAACTTTGTTTTTGTACAGAAGACCATATTTTGCATTGGACTCATTTTTTCCAAAAATTTTCTTCGTCAAAACAATTAAGCAGCGGCTTCGAAGCGGCCGGTGACAACTGGTAATAAAACGAATCAACTGTCACGTTAAATTTTAACAAAATCCAAACAAATTCCATTTCAGCCATAGAAACTTTGTCACCGGAACGCAGCATGAATTTATTCAGTCAGTGTTGCCCAAATCACCTTCGTTTCTGTTTTACATCTCATTCACATTTACGCTGATCAGTGCAAGTATAATTAACATGGTAGCCAGTTTTAAGCCCTGCTCAGAGCACTTTCGCTGTTTTTGTTTGTTTCTTCACGCGGCTTATTATTTTTTTTCTTTAGATTGCGTTCGTCATATCCTTCTCGCTCAAAGCGAAGATCAAGAAAATGAAAAACGAGGGTCAATGAAAAGACTATTCAAATTCGCTCCCAGTTTTCTGGTCGGGTTGAAGTTAGAGGTTTGATTTACAGCGAATGCCTCTATAAAATATATACCCAGTAGGATATTGGGAATTGGGACTAATCTCTTAATAAATTATAAGAAACAACAGAAAAAATACCGCTTTCAGAGACAAGCTAAAGATTTCCATCGTGTTGTAAAATTTACTCTCTGATTGTTTGCAAAGTTTTCTTGCAACACTGTCTGCGAAAGAGTGCTGCACATTCGAAAACAACAGAAGAAAACTCTAGCCATGTCTCCCGCTCCATATGTAAACAGTTCCTGAAGTGAAGAGAAGAGTCATAAATAATTTTTTTTGTATGGATCTTTAGGAATGGAAGCTGTAACATCGAGCTAAAAGATCACGAACTTCAGCGGTGTTGAGAAGGTACCATCAATTCTCCTGGTAGCGTCCCTAATCAAAACGAAAACTCTAGAGAAGTGAAGTCAGGACTTAAATACTGTGTTCTCAAAACTGTCCGTCATTGCCACAAGCATTCCGCATTCATGCGTTTTCAAAACTACAATATACACGACACATTGTTTGCCAACGTTTTCTCTTATTCACACAGGAAACGATGCCTTTCAAAACTAATTTCCTTTCCAAACTGATTTTTACGTGCCGAACTTAGGAAAGTTAGCAGTTTCTTTTATTTTGTCAAATTTCCTTCAGGGTTACTTGCCTAAACCCCTTTAAACTTTGGTCAAGAAAAGGATTTTGCACGCAATTTGTACCTATCTTTTATTGGATCACGTAATCGATCACGTAACTTCTCAGATCAGAACCTCACTCTTCGGACATGTATCTTTCGCTTCTTCTGTTGTTTGGAAAGGAGTCTAAATACTTCCCGATAAAGTTTTACCTCTCGATCTCATTGAGGAATAAAGTCCTGGAAGCTCTAGGAACATCTTCGTTTTTCACACCTTTGATGAGTCTAAATAATATTATGATCTGACCTGTTTTTTTTTTCTTGATGGACTTTTTGAGTTTGCTCAGCAGTAACGACTCAGTAACCCATACACACCTTTCGTCAGTACGTTTTTTTTTTTTTTTTTCAAACATTATTTGTTCAAGATAACCCACCAATTTATTCATCAACTCTTCCTTAAACATAAAAAAAGCTGCACAAACTTTTCAAACGAGGTAAGCTCTAATGAGCCTGGATTATATGTAAACACACAAACAAAAAAAAGTTACTCTTAGCGTCCCTAAATTACCCACGGTTGTAACTCTAATGATAGCAAACGAACCAGCTGTTGAAAAAAATTATCGTCTTAATAAATCCAATAAAAGAAACGCACACTTTCCAAAACAGTCATCGGCCGGCTGTCATTCTGTGTTGCCCATTAGTACATCCCATGATTACTTTTGGCATGGTAAGCTGCAACTTCCTGATCAAACTGGATTCTTTCTCGAAAGGACAGGGACCTAAAATATAAAAAAGGGAATTTTATCTTAGTATTAATAGAAGTAGTAGTAGTAGTAGTAGTAGTAGTAGTAGTAGTAGTAGTAGTAGTAGTAGTAGTAGTAGTAGTAGTAGTAGTAGTAGTAGTAGTAGTAGTAGTAGTAGTAGTAGTAGTAGTAGTAGTAGTAGTAGTAGTAGTAGTAGTAGTAGTAATAGTAGTAGTAGTAGTAGTAGTAGTAGTAGTAGTAGTAGTAGTAGTTGTAATAATAGTAGTAGTAGCAATAGTAGATAATGGTAATATGACCGAGTGGAGTCCAATTCGGTCTGTAATCATACGAGTGATTAACAAAATCGGATGACCGCGAGTATGATTACAGACAGAATTGGACGACACAAAGTCCTTTTACCAATTAATCATAACTGTTACGATTTCCAAAAACAGCAAATACATTTAGGACAAATATGTGCAGTAGAGACAATGTCTAAGTAAAACATTCCTCAACTTTGGAAATTTCACAACTTTTTTAGGATAAGTGGTTGTCATTGTGATCAATTCTGTGATTGGTGGATCTGACTGAAAGGACTAAATATGATTGGCTTCTTCAACTGTCCGATTACAGGTGTCCAATTACAGCCAACTGTCCGATTACACTGTCAGATTATAACTCTACAGAATGATTTGTGAAAAATAAAGCAGCTACTGCACCAATCGCATTTGTGGAAATTGTAATGGTTATGATTAAATGGTAGTAGTACTAGTAGTAGTAGTAGTAATAGTAGTAATAGTAGTAGTAGTAGTAGTAATAGTAGTAGTAG